ACATTTAAAAATCGCATAAAAAATTTCAAAGTAGGAATACTGAAAAAGTGCAAAACCATAAAATGGAAAATTAAAAGTCAAAAAAATTGTGATCTCAAAACTGTCCGATCGGAAAATTGTAACAGTCAAAGATTAAAAAACTGAAAATCGAAAATTGTAGGAACAAAATATTTAAAAAGCCGAAATACTGAAAAATCTCACATTCGAAAAATAAGCAAATTTAAAAATTGGAAAATCGAAAATCTGAAAAAACCAGAAATCGTAACACTGAAAATAGAAAAATTTTAAATCGATGAATTGAAAAATTGGAAAATCTAAATGTTGAATATCGAAAAAATGCGAAGTCGTAAAATTGAAAAGTCAAAAAATTGAAAAAACAAAAATCTAAAAATTGAAAAACAAAAAATCGAAAACTTGATAAGCAAAAATATCGAAAAACTGAAAATCAAGAAATCAAAAAATTAGATTATTGAGAATCAAAAAAATTACAGAACGATCGCAAAATTGAAAAATAGAAAAATTAAAAATACGTAAATTTGAAACATTGGCAAATTTCACAGTCAAAAAATGGGAAAATTTAAAAATTTGATGATCGAAAAATTGAAAAATTAGAAAAATGGACAATCGAAAATTTGTAACGCTGAAACATAGAAAAATTGAAAAATTAAAAACTAATAAATACAAACGTCGAAAAATTGTAAAATCTAAAAGTTCAAATATCGAAAAATTGCACAATCGTTAGATCAAAAAAATTAAAACTGGGAAATTGAAAAACAAAAAAATCGAAAAACTGATAATTAAGAAATCAAAAAATTTGATTTTTGAAAAATCAAAAAATTATAAAACCATAGAAAAATTGAAAAATCGAAACTCGACAAACTCAGAAATCGAAAATTGAATAATGGAAAATCTTAAAAATTGGAAAAATTGTATAATTAATCAAAACACTGAAAAATTGGACACTTGAAAAATCGAAAAATTTAAAATTTGGGAAATCAAAAACATAAGAAATTGCAAAATTGTAATATGGAAAAAATTGAAAACCAATAAATTAAAAAATGTTAGAAGCCGAAATTTCGAAAAATTGCAAAATCGTAAAATGGAAAATTTAAAATTTTAAAAAATTAAAAATCAAAAAGAGAAATTAAGAACCTAAAAATCGAAAAATTGAGGAATTAAAAGCGAGATATTGAAAAATTGAAAAATGTAAGAACGAAAAAATGTAAAATCGAAACAGTGAAAACCTCAATCGAAAAAATTGAAAAAACTAAATTCGAAAAAACGGAAAATTGTAAGATGAAAAATGTAAAAATCAAAAATTCATTAACTGAAAAATTGTAAAATTCAAAAACTGAACATCAATAAATTAAAAAATTGGATAATTGAGAAATCTCGAAAAATAACAAAACTGAAATTGAAAAATATAAAAACTGGAAAATCGAGAAATTAAAAAATCAGTGGCTGACGTGATTTTAAAAATGCTTAATAAAAAAATAAAAAAAAAGAAAAATTGTAAATTCGAAACATTGACATAACTAACAAGTTCAAAAATAGGAAAATCGAAAAATGGAAAAAATTAAAACTATGAAAAATTTAAAAATCAAAGATCGACAAATTGAAATCCTAAAAAGATAAAAATTCGAAACAGAACAATATAAAATAGAAAAATCGAAAATCGAAACACTGAAAACCATTAGACCGAAAAATTAAAATCTCCATTGAAAATAGGAAAATATAAAATCTGAAAATTCGAAAAAACGAAAAATTATAAAATCGAAGAATTGAGAAGTCGAAAAATTAAAAACATTTCAACTTAGAAATCGAGAAATTGAAAACCTAAAAATCGAAAACTTGAAAAACCAAAAATTGAAAAATAACCAGAAATACGAAACATTGTAAATTCGAAATATTGACAAATTTCACAGCTGAAACATAAGAAAATTTAAAATTTTGAAAATCGAATACTTGAAAAATCAAAAAATCGAAAAACCGAATAATTTTAAAACTTAAAAATTTAAATAACAAAATTACAAAATTCTAATATTAAAAAATCCAAAAACTGAAAAATCGAAAAACTGAAAATTTGGGAAATGAAAAATTAAGAAATGGCGAAATTGTAACAAGGAAATATTGAAAAATGAAAATACTAATAAATTGAAAAATTTTAAAATTTCGAAAAATTGCAAAAACTTAAAATGGAAAATAAATAATAAAAAAATTGAAAAAAGTTAAAACTCAAAAATAGAGAAGTGAAAAATCGAAAAATTGAAGAATTAAAATCGAGAAATTGAAAAATTGAAAATTGTAAAAACGAAAAAATGCAAAATTAAAACACTGAAAAACCTCACAATCATCGAAAAATAGCAAAATTAAAAAATTAAAAAAACTAAAATTCGAAAAAACCAAAATATTGTAACATGAAAATAAAAAAAAAGAAAAATTTTAAATCCATATTTTGAATAATTTCAAAGTTGAAATATCAAAAAATTGCAGAATCGTAAAATAGAAGATAACAAAAAAATTGAAAAATTTAAAAATCAAAAATCGACAAACTGAAAACTTAAAAAGCTAAAAATTGGAAACAGAACAATAATTAAAATCTCACTTTGAAAATAGGAAAATATAAAAACTGAAAATCCGAAAATTTGAAAAACCGAAAAATTGTAAAATCGACGAATTGAGAAGTCGGAAAATTTTAAAAATTTTAACTCAGAAACCGAGAAATTGAAAACATAAAAATCGAAAAATTGAAAAATAACAAACCTAGAAACACGAAAAATTGTAAATTTGAAATATGTATTGACAAATTTCACAACTGACAAATGAAAAAATTTTAAATTTTGAAAATCGAAAAGTTGAAAAATCAAAAAATCGAAAAACCGAAAAATTTTAAAACTTAAAAATTTAAATATCAAAATTACAAGACTGTAATATTGAAAAATCTAAAAACTGAAAACTCAAAAAATGAAAAATGGAAAATCTTAAAAATTGAAAAATTGTAAGTATAATCAAAACATTGAAAAACCGCCCAACTGAAAAATCTAAAAATTTAAAATTTGGGAAATCAAAAAATTGAAAAATTGCTAAATTCTAAGGAAAAATTGAAAAATTAAATAATCAGTGAATAATACAAAAATTTAGAAGTTGAAATTTCGAAAAACTGCAAAATCGTAAAAAGGGAAATAAAAAATTAAAAACTGACTAACTGAAATCACAAAAATATAAAACTTGATAAATCAAAAAATTGAGAAATTAAAAATCAAAAAATCGAAAAATTGTAAAATCAAGACACTGAAAAACCTCATAATTGAAAAATAAGAAAATTTAAGAACTGAAAAATCTAAAATTCGAAAAAGGAATATTGTTAATTCAAAAAATTTTACCTTGAAAAAATTTAAAATTAAAAATTCATGAAAAATCTGAAAACCGAAATATCGGTAAACTGCAAAATCCTAAAACTGATAAAAAAAATCGGATAACTGAGAAATCGAAAAATTACAAAACTGTGAAATTAAAAAATTTGAAAAATAATGTTTAATGAAAAAAATCAAAAAACGAAAAATTGCAAATTCTAAACATTGACGAAACTAACAAGTTCAAAAATAGGAAAATTTAAAAATTGGAAAATCGAAAAATGAAAAATCCATATGTAACCATTTTGACTGATTTCAAAGTTGAAATATCGAAAAACTGCAAAATCGTAAAATGGAGGGTAATTAAAAAAACTGAAAAAATTAAAACATAAAAATCGATAAATTGAAAACGCAAAAAGCTAAAAATTGAAAAATCGAAAACTGAAACACCGAAAACCGTAAGACCGAAAAATTAAATCCCAAAAAACCAAAAAATTGGGGCATCGAAAAGTTGAACATGAAAGAATTGAGAAATTGAGAAATTAAAAATCAAACATTCAAAAACAGAAAAATTAAGAAAAACGATAAATTGTTGAATCGAAACATTGACAAATCTCACAACTGAAGAATTGAAAAATTAAAAATGGACAAATTGAAAACTTAAAACCCAAAAATTGAAAATAGAAAAATATCAAACCTGAAAAGTCGAAAAATTGAGGCAACGAAAAATCGTAAAATCGAAAAATTGTCAACACTGAAATATCAAAGCATTGAAAAATAGAAAATCGGCATATTGAAACCAAAAATTCGAAACAAGAAATCGTAAAATCAAAAAATTGTAGCATGAAAAAATTGAAAAATTGGAAATCGGGAAATTAAAAATCAAAAATTCAAAAACAGGAAAATAAAAAAAAACGAAAAATTGTGAAATCGAAACAGTGACAAATCTCACAAGGAAAAAATTTTAACATTAAAAAAATTAAAAATGGACAAATTGATGAACAAAATTGAAAACAGAAAAATATAAAACCCGAAAAATCGAAAAAATGAAGCACCGAAAAACCGTAAGATCGAAAAATTGCAACACTGAAACACCAAAATATTGGAAAATAGAAAAGTAACAAAATAAAAATCGAAAAATTTCTAAATCGTACAATCAAAAATTGAAGAAGAAATAACTCTGAATATGTTGAAAAATATTAAAAATAGCCGCTCTCTTCATGCTGTACGGGTCAGAAGTCGTTATCCCGTTTTAAAATAAGAGCCAATTTCGTTAGAAAACTCTAACTAGGCGTTCGCTACTTGTTTTACTTTTTAGTTCGGTCAACAACGCGGTACATTGAACTGACAAATATTTTACTAACGACAGGAAAATCCAAAGTCGACTTTTTTACTTCCGGATCATGTTTTTGACGTTTCACAGTTTGTAGAACACGAAAACGTCGATCGCTCTCCCTGCACTTAAACAAAGCCTCTTATTCTCCAAACACCGTCTTCAGCCTCTGGTCCCCTCGACCCGCCCTCGCCGTCTGCCACGGCGCCGCTCCGTCTTAGCACTTTCGAAACCTTATCGAGTTACGTCGACACAATTGAAAAATAACCGGCAATAAAAGCCCAAACGGCCGAAAAACAGCGCATTTCTCCTACCTTTCTGTTGACCAGCCTCGGCTCGTCCTGGGCCAGCTTGAGCAGCTCTTGGATGTCGCCCTTCGACGCCGTGACGTACCATTCCGTGCACTTTTTCGGCTCTAACTGTAACAATAACTTATGCGTTTTATGTGACGGCCCTGCAGCGCCTCTCCTTACAGATTGACGTTTATGGTTTTTTGTTCGGTCGTCGAAAAAATATTGCCGCTTTCGAGACGGCACCCATTATGTTCCGATAATGTATGCAAAATATCAACGTTGCGTAACTGAAGTCTTAACAAATTTTTTCGTTATTTACAGTTGGGTTGGTATAGATTGCGGATAAATCCTTGGCGGGCTATGAATTACTGATAATTTATCATATTCGCTTTTGTTGGCGGTGTAGAACTTGACATACATTACAATCGCGTTTTAGAAAAAAGACTAATTTATGTATTCTGGTTAAAGTTTGAGTTAAAGTACAATGGGTACCGCCCTTGGTTTGTTTATTTTAATCGGCTGTTGTCTTTAGATTGAAACATGGTTTATATTTACTTTATGCTAATTAAGTGGTTTCCGCAATCTAAGCCGATGCAATCTAAAGCAGCGAATTTTTTTGCGTGAAAATTAACTTCCACATAGCGTGGTTTCATTGTTTATATGTTAATATTTTCTATAATTTCAGACTTTCAGCTTTGACAAATTTTATCAACGAAATGTGTTGCCAAATTAATTTCCCGTGTCGAAATAAACTAATTTAATTTAAATAATAAAAACTCTACCTTTAAATACGTTAACGTATCTACAACAATTTTGTATTTAGATGAATATAAATAAACAAAATCTGTGCTCGCAGACATCAAACATGACAATATTTGAAAATAAAAGTAAACATAGTGCAGACAAGAGAATAAACAAATCAGAGATATAGATAAAATTTCGTGTGCAACAAAATTCTGATGCACGTTTAAATATGAAAACAATTGCCTTTATGTTAATTTTGAAAATTTAAACAGCGCTTACTACGCAAAATTTTAAGGTGACGTCACAAAATTTTTAGTGGGGATGAGAAAATAATTTTGGGTTAGCGTTACACCATCTACACGATATCCCTACTATACATCTAAAATTTAACAACAATCGGTCCGATAGTTTCGGAGATTCTGTCTAATATAAATCAACATTGATGACGGGCAAATAGAAACAGGTGATCTGGTTTTTCATAGTCTACGAAATACGGACATAACAGGGCCACAAAGTAACAGATGAAATTAAAAAAGAAAAGGAAATAAGAATAGAGAAAGCAAGAAGTGAAAAATATATATAGGTAGGAGCAGAAAAAAGGGAGAATGGAACAAGAGATTCTAAAAGAAACAGTGGGAAAAACGAGAGTTAGAGAAAGGGACTGTGAAAATGAGTAAAAAAGGTAAGGAGATGTAAAGAGAAAAAGAGACAACAAAGGAAAAAATAAGTGTCAGAAAGAGGATTCAAATAAAAAAAATTGAAAATGTGAGAGTATTAGAACGAAAGAGAAGAAGCAAAAGAAGGATAGACAAAAAATAAAAAAGATAGCTAAACAATGATGAAAAAAGTGAGATTGGCAAAAATACCAACTAAAAAAATCAACAAGGATTCATAAACCACAAGTACAAGAGTATGTTATTTTATACAATTTAAATAGTATTTATTACGCAAAATGTTAAGGTGACGTCATCATAACTGTAATCGAAAAATTGTAAAAACGAAACACTAAAAAACCTGATAATTGAAAACTTGATCGAAATCGAAAAATTAAGATCGAAAATTGAAAATATGAAAAATCTAAATATTGAAAAAACAAAAAATGTAAAATCAAAAAAATTAACATTGAAACAGAAACAGAAAAAACTTTAATGTGAAAAGTGGATTAATTGAAAAATTGAAAAATTGAAAAGTCTAAAAATTGAAATGCTGAAAAACCTAAAAATTGAAATACCGAAAAATTGCAGATAGGAAAAATTGGAAAATTTAAAAAAACGAAAAATTATAAAAGCAAAACATTAAAAAATCTGATAGTCGAAAAGTTGAAAATTTAAAAATTACAAAAATCAAATATCGAAAAAATTTAAAAAACGAATCACCGAAAAATTTGATATTGAAAACTTGAAAATTTTAAAGATTGATAAATCGAAAAATTAAGATCAAAAAATTGTAAATATGAAAAATCGAAATATTGAAAAAACAAAAAATGTAAACTCGAAAAATTTAAAATTGATAAAGAAACACTGAAATGCTAAAAAAGGTTTAATTGAAAAGTCGAAAAATTGAAGACTTGAAACATTAAAAAATCGTAAAACGGAAACCGAAAATTAAAAATTTGAAAAATCAAAAAAATTCAAAAGGGAAACATTGAAAAATCTAAAAGTGGAAACATCGAAAAATCGATAAATCTAAAAATTGGGAAATGGAAAACTCGAAGAATCCAAAAACCGAAAATTTAAAATTTGAAAAAATGCAAAATGAAAAGTTGAAAATTCGAAAATTAGAAACGCAAAGAATCGAAAAATCAAAAAATTGGATAATCGAAAGTGAAAAAAATCGTACAGCTGAAATATCCGAAAATTGAGTAACCGAAAATTAAAAATTTGAAAAAAAGGAAATTTGTCAAAAATCCAGAAACTGATGAAACGAAAAACTGAAAAATCGTAAAAACTCAAGTATGTATCGGAAAATTGAGAAATCGAAAAATAAAAAAAAAGTGGATGAATTGAAAACTCGAAAAATTGAAAAGTCTAAAAATTTAAAATCAAGGAATTGAAGAATTGAAAAATTAAGAATCGAGAAATTGAAATACTAAAAATGGGAAAATTGATAATCGCCAAATTGAAAAATCTCATGATTGAGAAATCAAAATTTTACAAACTGAAAAAAATGTTTAAAAAATCGCAAAATTAAAAAATTTGCAAATTGACATAACGAAAAATTGTAAAATCGAAAGATTGAAAAATCTCACTATCGAAAACTTGAAAAATTTTACACTGAAAGGTGGAAAAATTGTAATATTAAAAAATTAATTGAAAAATCGAAAAATGAAAAACCTAAAAATTGAAATATCGGTAAATTGCAGATACGGAAAATTGAAAAAAGGAATAATTATAAAAGCAAAACATTAAAAATTCTGAAAGTTAAAAAGTTGGAACTTTTAAAAATTGAAAAAATCAAAAATCGAAAAATTGAAAAAACAAATCACTGAAAAATCTGATAATTAAATACTTGAAAATTTAAAACTGAACTGAAAAAGCAAAAATCGTAAAATCTAAAAATTTTACTTTGAAACTTGAAAAAATTCAAGTATTAAACAAAAATCGAAAATTTTAAATACCGAAAAATTGCAAAATCGAAAAATTGAAAACCAAGAAATTGAAAAAGCGGAAGATTAAGAACTCAAAATTTTACAAAAATTTGAAAAATCAAAAAATGAAATAATACAAAAATTGATATAACGAAAAATTATAAAAGGAAAACATTAAAAAACCTGGAAGCTGAAAATTTAAAAATCAAAAAAATCAAAAATCGAAAAAATTTAAAACACGAATCACTGAAAAATCCGATATTTGAAAACTTGAAAATCTGAAAATATGATAAATCGAAAAATTAAGATCGAAATATTGTAAATATGAAAAATCGAAATATTGAAAAAACAAAAAATGTAAACTGGAAAAATTTAACATTGAAACAGAAAAATTGAAATGCTAAAAGTGGATTAATTGAAAAATCGAAAAATTGCAAAGTCTAAAAACTGAAATACCGAAAAAATTTAAAATCAAGAAATTGAAGAACTGAAAAATTAAGAATCCAGAAATTGAAAAATCTCATGATTGAGAAATCAAAATTTTATAAAAGTGAAATAGAATTTTAAAAAATCGAAAAACTAACAAATAGGCAAATTGAAATAACGAAAAACCGTAAAATCGAAAAATTGAAAAATCTCACTATCGAAAACTTGAAAAATTTGACATTGAACGTGGAAAAGTTGTAATAAAATATTAATTGAAAAATAGAAAAACTGAAAAACCTAAAAATTGAAATATCGAAAAACTGCAGATACGAAAAATTGGAAAATAGGAAAATTGAAAAAACGAAAAATTATAAAAGCGAAACATTAAAAAACCTAAAAGTTGAAAAGTTGGAACCCTTAAAACTTGAAAAAATCAAAAATCGAAAAATTGAAAAAATAAATCACTGAAAAATCTGATGATAATTAAAAGCTTGAAAATTTAAATCTGAACTGAAAAAGCAAAAAACGTAAATCTGAAAATTTAACATTGAAAGATGAAAAATTCGAAAATTTTAAATACCGAAAAATTGCAAAATCTAAAAATTAAGATACTAAAAATCGAAAAATTGAAAACCGAGAAATTGAAAAATTGGAAGATTAAGAAATCAAAATTTTACAAAAATTTGAAAAATCAAAATAAAATAATACAAAAATTGAAATAACGAAAAATTGTAAAAGGAAAGCTGTAAAAAACCTGAAAGCTGAAAATTTAAAAATTAAAAAAATCAAAAATCGAAAAAATTGAAAACACGAATCACTGAGCAATCTGATATTTGAAAACTTGAAAATCTGAAAATATGATAAATCGAAAAATTAAGATCGAAAAATTGTGAATATGAAAAATCGAAATATTGAAAAAACAAAAAATGTAAACTCGAAAAATTTAACATTGAAACAGAAAAATTGAAATGCTAAAAGTGGATTAATTGAAAAATCGAAGAATTGAATAACTGAAAAATTAAGAATCCAAAAATTGAAAAATCTCATGATTGAGAAATCAAAGTTTTACAAAAGTGAAACAAATTTTTAAAAAATCGAAAAAATCTCACTCTCGAAAACTTGAAAAATTATACATTGAAACGTGGAAAACTTTTAATACTATTGAAAAATTAATTGAAAAATCGAAAAACTGAAAAACCTAAAAATCGAAATATTGAAAAATTTGCAGACACGAAAAATTGGAAAACTGGAAACCTGAAACAACGAAAAATTATAAAAGCGAAACATTAAAAAACCTGAAAGCTGAAAAGTTAGAACTTTTAAAAATTGTAAAAACAAAAATCCCAAAATTGAAAGAACAAATCACTGAAAAATTTGATGATAATTGAATGCTTGAAAGTTTAAAAATGTACCGGAACAAACGAACATTTTAAATACCGAAAAACTGCAAAATCTAAAAATTAAAGTATATACTAAAAATCGAAACACTGAAAACCAAGGAATTGAAAAAGTGGAAAAATAAGAATTCAAAAATTTACGAAATTAATAAAGTTGAAAAATCAAAAAATAAAAAAAATACAAAAATTGAAATAACGAAAAATTGTAAAATAGGAAGATTGAAAAATCTGACTATTGAAAACTTGAAAAATTTGACACTGAAACGTGGAAACATTGTAATATAAAAAATTAATTGAAAAATCGAAAAAGTCAAAAACCGGAAAATTATAAAGGGAAAACTAAAGAAGTTGAAAATTTAAAAATCAAAAATCGAAAAAATTGAAAAAACCAATCACTGAAAAATCTAATATTTGAAAACTTGAAAATCTGAAAGATTGATAAATCAGAAAATTAAAATCGAAAAATTGTAAATACGAAAAATCGAAATATTGAAAAAGCAAAAAATGTAAAGTCGAAATATTTAATATTAAAACAGAAACACAAGTCCAAAAATTGAAATACCGAAAAAATTTTAAATTAAGAAATTGAAGAATTGAAAAATTAAGAATCGAGAAATTGAAATACTAAAAATCGAAAAATCGATAATCGCAACATTGAAAAATCTCATGATTGAGAAATCAAAATTTTACAAAGTGAATTTTTTTTTTTTAAAATCGAAAAATTAACAAATAGGTAAATTGAAATAACAAAAAAATGTAAAATCGAAAACTTATAAACCTAAAACTTATAAAAGCGAAACATTAAAAATCCTCAGTTAAAATACTGAAAATCGAAATATTGTAAACCGAGAAACTGAAAAATTGGAAACATTGAAAAATCTAACAATCGAAAACTCTCAAAATTTTAAAATTGGTAAGTATATCGAAAAATTAAGATATCGAAATATTGAAAAATCGAAAAAAAAAATGTAAAACTGAAAAATTTAAACATTTCCAAATTGAACTACCGAAAAACTACACAATTGAAAAATTGAAGAGTTAAAGAATTAAAAATCGGGAAATTAAAATACTAAAATCGAAAAATGGAAAATCGCGAAAGTGAAAAATCAGATGATTGATGGAATCAGGTGGAACACACAGAGAAAATCAGAAGTAGAGGGTGAAGGAAGAAAAAGAGAATGGAGACGAACTATGAAACATAATACGGGATGAAGAAAAGGAGGCAGAATTTAATTAAAACGATAAGTAAAAATAATAAGGAAAAAAACACGGGTAAAGACAGAAAAAAGGAAAATAGAGAAATGAATGGGGTAAATGAAAGCGACTTTTGAAGAGAGAGTGAGAACGAAAGAACAGGAGAAAGAATGTGTAGAAGAGTCAGAGAAAGGGAGTGTGAAAAATAGGTAAAAAAGTTAAAAACATCGAAAGAGGAAAGATACGGCAAAAGAGAAAATAAGACTAACAAAAACATGCTATAAATAAGAAAAGTCGGAAAGGTGAAAGTATTAGAAAGAACAAGAGGAGGAAAGAAATTAATAACGAAAAAAAAGAGGCAGAGGAACAAAATGATGAAAAGTGGGAGTGCAATAAACCAAGTAAAAAAACTCATAAACCAGAAGTACAAGAGTTTGTGATTTTTTTAAAATGACACCTACCAGCACACTATGAGGAAAATTTTTTACCTACTCTGTGAAAATGAGTGAGAGTGTGAATGGAAAACAACAAAAAAGGAAGAGAGAAAAAAATAAAAACGCAACTTTAGAAAAACTTATTTCTATTGACAACTGAATTTTGTGAGCAGTGAAACATTTCGAAATAACGTCAAGACTACTGTTAGTTTATTTCAACACGGAGAATTTCACCTGGCCGCAACTCCTTCAGAAGAGATCAAATCTTCAACCAATTTCTTCGTTAGTTTAGATCAATTCTGATCAAACATACAAACCAAACAAAAAATTTACAAATTCGTTTTACAAATAAAGATCTCTATCGTCAATCTGTAGGCGGCTCGTATAAGATCACATATAAATTAGAAGCAAGGAAAAAAAGCAAAATTATGATTCCCATTCCGAAAGTACACCCACTTCTAAAACCGTGTTGCTTTTGTCACGATTTCCATTAAAACCTTAATAAGTAGCTACTTTTTTATAAATTCAACTTCCCCCTATCCGCTACCAGAAATTAAATAAATTAAAGCTCGCTTACACGTTATTATAAACATTCTCCATAAATCATCAGAAACCACTAATCCAACCTGATCCCAAACGCAGATACAACAATTTTCAAAAAACCTAAAACCCATTCCACGGCGCCCATAAATCAGCAGCACCTCAAGACCGAACATTTCAATATTTTAATTACTGCACCATCAACAAAGATAGCAATCTCGACTTCAGCCTATTAGCAGTCAAAATAATAAACCAATTAATAACGCTGATACCCATCTACGATGTCCCCTACCGCCGATTGTGGTCAAACGCAACGAATTCGATTTAAATTAAAATCTAAAAAAGCCCAAGGTGGGAATACTCACCGATGTGACCGAAGCGCCGTCGTCCTCCTCGGCCCCCTGCGGACAAAACACAATACTAAACAAAAGAGCATCGTGTATAAATTAGTGGTCGCGAGCGATAACATCGCCATACGCTAAACGGACTAGTCACGCCGTTTTTACCATCGAATTACATGGGACATCGACATAATTTGTCCGGCGGTGAGGAGCGAGCGATTCCTGAAGGCCCCAAAACGCGTATACCGCCACCGGCCGGCCCGACCTAGCGACATCGAATTCGCTTGGGGCGGACCGAGCCGTTTTGGGATTGCGGCCGAAATAACGGCGTGATTTATTCGCCCGGAGGTGCGATCCAAAAAGTGACGGCTTTTTGAATAATCGGGGGCATGCGGAGCGACTTAATGTGGCGTTAAAGCCGGCGTAATTTAAAAGTTCTGTAAAAAGTCGTCATATGTGTGTGTTTTTTTGTGTGTCGGATGGTATTTCACATCGTATATTATTCCAGTTTTTTCCCGTACATTTTGTTTCATGCTACATTACAGCGCCTCAACACCTTCAACCGGTTCATTAATAAAAAGTACAAAATTTCGACATACTCGCATTTTAATGCGTGTGAATGGAGTGGGTACGGGTTCAAATGGGCCGGAATCTGGTTGGGTTATCAAGATGGGCTCGTTTGGGACATGGACCGCGACAAATTATTAATAAATAATTGAATTTGGAGATTTTTTCGCCGAAAGTGACCATGTTTTGTTATCTGTTATATAAAAGCGGCTGTATGACCAATTAATGGATGAAACTGTGGGACGGAAATAAAGACAAAAATACTTTCAATAAAAGTAAAAAAGAATTTGTCCACATACCTTTGGTTTTAACTCATTCCTGAGCAGACACACAAATTTATCGTAAAATATCTATGAAAGTCTCTCGTTGTGAACACTCTTTTTATTAATAAATCGAGGGTAGCTCTCCCTAAATTTTTCACTACAATTTTATCGTCGTAAGAAAACGGACGCTCTTTTATTAAATAATCAACTGAAATCATTATTTTTACTTAAAATCAAACAATTTCACTCGCGTAGTCGAACTCCTACTAGCGGTCACTGTTTCAATGTGACCCGTCAAAGACGAGTGGAGGCGTGGTTTCCATAGCAACAAAAAGTCTAAACGAGTCACGATTCTGTTTTTATCGAGACCTTGATAATAATTATGACACAAACTTCCGGGTAATTTTTTAAATATTGAAAATTACTATTCTGCCATGTTCCGTGTGTTTCTAAACGTTGTAATTTTGCTAATTTTATTTTTCTATAACCCCTATACAGGTAAAACGCATGCTATGCGTATGTTTCAAGTGACGTTTTCATAATAAAAAAGGAGGACAAACAGTGCGATAAAAAAGACACCACGTAGTAAAAATCAATTTTAAAAAAGGACAAAATGGGACCCAAAAAATTTGAGAAAAAAAGCTTTAAAAACTGAAAAATTGAAAAATGGAAAAGTGGTAAAATCCAAAATTTGAACATCGTGAAATAGAATGGTCTAAAATCGAATAATCGAAAAATTAAAACTTGAAAAATTAAAATATTTAAAATTAAAACAATTGAAAAACCGATAAACTCAACAACTTAAAAACTGAACAATCAAAAATCGAGGAATCAAAATATCAGAAAGTCAAGGAATCGGGATTTGGGGAAATAGGGAAAATCAAAAAATTGAAAAATCGAGTGAAAAATCCCAAAATTGAAAGATTGAAAAATTTTTAAAATCGAAAAATCGCAAATTCTTAAAATGGAAAACTCGAAACACCGATAAATGGTAATTCCAAAAGTCGAATGATGGAACATTCGAAAAATCTAAAACTCAAAAGACTGACAAATTGAAATTAAAAAATAAAATTAAAATATCGAACAAATAAAAATCCGGAAATTGAAAAATTCCCAAAATTGGAATAGTGGTGAAAAATAGTGAAACTGAAAACTTGAAAAATCAGAAAATCGAAAGATCGTGAATTTGAAAAAATATAAAAACGAAAACTGAGATACATATCGCGAAATCGAAAATTTGAATAACTGAAAAATTCTAAAAGTAAAAAGTCGAGAAATTGAAAAATCCCAACACTGAATCATGAAAAAACTGATATCGATACAACGAAAAATAGAAAGAATGGAAACATCGAAAAATTTAAAAATTGAAAAATCGAAAAATGAAAAAGTCGAAAAATCAAAAAACCGAGAATTCGAAAAATCGAAAAATCAAGAAATCGAAACGTGAAATGATCGAGAATTCGAGAAATGGAGTACTCGAAAAACCGAGAAAGCAAAATGGCCCAAAGTAAGAAAGTCAAAAATAGTGAAAAGAAAACCCGACAAAAAATACAAAAAAAGGACAAGACAAGAAATTCGAAAAACAAAACAACACAAAGGTGAACAAAAAACCGGCAAAAAGACTAAACATTGAGACAAAAAATGTTTCCAAAAATTCAACAAAAAAAAAACTGATTAAAAAAAGGAGTACAAAAATATGCCAAAAAATTGTGAAAAACCCAAAAAAGACGTCAAAGAATAGGAAAAAATGTGATTAAAAGCCAACTAAACAGGAACCAAAAAAACAAAAAAATGCAATAAAAGGGTCGAAAAACGCTGCAAATAACGCAAAAAATGCAAAAAAAGTGCTAAAAAGCAGTTAAAATGCGGGACAAGAAAGAAAGAAAATGGTGCAAAAGTGACAAAAAAAGGGAACGAAAAAGACAAAGTCGAAAATTATGATAAAAAGCGCGACAAAAAAATATTAAAAGTAAAGATTAAGGACAAAAAATGGGCCAAAAATGGTCAAAAAACGCAAACAACCGCAAAATACAAAATAAAGAAAAAAGCCAAAAAATTATTTAAATGCCATTAAAAGGGAGTCAAAAGACGCGAAAAAAAAAGCAGAAAAAGTACAAAAAACTCCAAAAATTGAAAAAATTGTTAAAAAATATAATTAAAAACAGTCCAAAAAACGCGGGACAAGGGAAAAGGTGCAAAAAAACTGACAAAAAAGCCAAAAATTGTGTTCAAAATAGCGACAAAAAAATCTAAAAAAAAACGACAAAAAGGGGGCAAAAACATGATAAAAAAAGATGGAAAACTGAGATTAAAAAGGACCAAAAAGGTGCCCAAAAATTCAACAAAAAAATGACACAAAAATAGTCAAAAAACGTAAAAAAAATGAAAAGGGGGAAAAATGTAATAAAGAAACCAACTAAAAAAAAGGGGGAATAAAAAAACCAAAAAATAAATAAACGAAATTAAAATGGAGCCAAAAGACGCTACAAAATCGCGTCCAAAAAGGCACAAAAAAGCAGTCAAAAATGCCGAAAGGACGACAAAAATGCGACTGAAATGGAAAAAAACGTGCAAAAAATGCGTCAAAAAACACAAAAAAGTGGAAGAAAGGCGATAAAAAATCCAAAAAAATGTGACAAGAAAGGTGGCGACAAACAAATGCGAAAGTAAAGGTCACAAAGATGCAACTAAAATACGTGGTAAAAATCAATTTAAGAACAGGACAAAAAAAGGAAAAAAGGGCCCAAAAAAATTGAGCAAAAAAAGCAACTAAAATAAAGGAAGACAAATATAGCGGGAAAAAACGCGACAAACAAATTCGAAAAAAAAGCACAAAAAGACTACAAATAAAGACAAAAAAGGTCCCCAAAAATTTAAAAAAAGTGGTGAAAATACAGGAGTACAAACACACGCCAGAAAATTGTAAAAAAATTCCTAAAACCGCAAAAACTGCGTCAAAGAATGGGGAAAAAGGCGATTAAAAGCCAACTAAATGGGAATAAAAAACACAAAAATGCAATTAAAAGGGGTCAAAAGGGTCGAAATACGCAAAGAATGCAAAAATTAGAAGAAAAAGGTGCAAAAGTAACAAACAAAAAAAAGGGAACTTAAAAAACAAAGTCAAAAATTGTGATAAAAAGCGCAAAAAAAAAGATTAAAAGTAAAGATTAAGAGAGTCCCCAAACATTCAACAAAAAAATGCCAACAAAGGACAAAAAATGCGCCAAAAATAGTCAAAAACGCAAACAACTGCAAAAAAAAAAACAAAATAAATAAAAAAGCCAAAAAAAATGGCGTCAAAAGACGCGACAAAAAAGGCGCAAAAAGTACAAAAAACCTCCAAAAATTGAAAAAATTATTAACAAATACAATTAAAAAATAGTCCAAAAACGCAGGGCAAGGGAAAAGGTGCAAAAAATCTGATAAAAAAGGCAACTAAAAAACAAAGCCCAAAAATTGTGATCAAAAGGGCGACAAAAAAAATTCGAAAAAAAACGACAAAAAAAGGAGGCAAAAACAGGATAAAAAAAGATTAAAAACAGAGATTAAAAAGGTCCAAAGAGGTACCCAAAAATTCAACAAAAAAAATGGCAAAAAATAGTCAAAAACGTAAAAAAATAAAAAGGGCGAATAAAAAAGCCAAAAAATAAATAAACGCGATTAAAATAAGCCAAAAGACGCGACAAAACAGCGTCCAAAAAGGCACAAAAAACTCCAATTATTAAAAAAAGCGATAAAAAATACAGCCAAAAAACAGTCAAAAACGCCGAAAGGACGACAAAAGTGTGACTGAAATGGGGAAAAACGTGCAAAAAATGCGTCAAAAACACACAAAAAGGTGGAAAAAAGGCGATAAAAAGTCCAAAAAAATGCGACAAGAAAGGTGGCGATAAACAAATACGAAAGTCACAAAGATGCAACTAAAACACGTGGTAAAAATCAGTTTAAGAAAGGGACAATGAAGGAAAAAAAGGGCCCAAAAAAATTGAGCAAAAAAGCAACTAAAATAAAGGAAGTCAAATATAGCGGCAAAAAAACGCGACAATCAAATTCTAAAAAAAAAGCGACACAAAGGTTTAAAAAAAAATATGGTTAAATACAGGAGTACAAACATACGCCAGAAAATTGTAAAAAATGCCTAAAACCGCAAAAATTGCGTCAAAGAAAAATGGGGAAAAATGCGATAAGAATAAAAACCCAAAAAAATACACAAAAAATGCGAAAAGGGCC